TGGTGCTGACATGCATCTATTCTATCTGTGTACTTGAAGGTGGAGACATGCATCTGCTCTATCTGTGTACTTGAAGGTGGAGACATATACCTACTCTATCTCTGTACTTGAAGGTGGAGACATGCATCTACTCTATCTCTTTACTTGAAGGTGGAGACATACATCTGCTCTATCTGTGTACTTGAAGGTGGAGATATGCATCTACACTAACTGTGTACTTGAAGGTGGAGACATGCATCTACTCTCTCTGTGTTCTTGAAGATGGAGACATGCATCTACTCTATCTGTGTACTTGAAGGTGGAGACATATATCTACTCTATCTGTGTACTTGAAGGTGGAGAAATGCATCTACTCTATCTGCGTACATGAAGGTGGAGACATGCATCTACTCTATCTGTGTACTTGAAGGTGGAGACATGCATCTCCTCTATCTGTGTACTTGAAGGTGGAGACATGCATCTCCTCTATCTGTGTACTTGAAGGGGGAGACATGCATCTACACTATCTGTGTACTTGGAGGTGGAGACATGCATCTACTCTATATGTGTAATTGAAGGTGGAGAGATACATCTACTGTATCTGTGTACTTGAAGGTGGAGACATGCATCTACTCTATCTGTGTACTTGAAGGTGGAGACATACATCTACTCTATCTGTGTAGTTGAAGGTGGAGACATGCATCTACACTATTTGTGTACTTGAAGGTGGAGACATACATCTGCTCTATCTGTGTACTTGAAAGTGGAGAGATACATCTACTCTATCTCTGTACTTGAAAGTGGAGACATGCATCTACTCTATCTGTCTACTTGAAGGTGGAGACATACATCTACTCTCTCTGTGTACTTGAAGGTGGAGACATGCATCTACTCTATCTGTGTACTTGAAGGTGGCGACATACATCTACTCTATCTGTGTACTTGAAAGTGGAGACATGCATCTACTCTATCTGTGTACTTGAAGGTAGAGACATACATCTACTCTATCTGTGTACTTGAAGCTGGAGATATGCATCTAAACTAACTGTGTACATGAAGGTGGAGACATGCATCTACTCTATCTCTGTACTTGAAGGTGGAGACATGCATCTACTCTATCTGTGTACTTGAAGGTGGAGACATACATCTACTCTATCTGTGTACTTGAAGGTGGAGATATGCATCTACACTAACTGTGAACTTTAAGATGGAGACATGCATCTTCTCTATCTGTGTACTTGAAGGTGGAGACATGCATCTACTCTATCTGTGTACTTGAAGGTGGAGACATGCATCTACTCTATCTGTGTACTTGAAGGTGGAGGCATACATCTACTATATCTGTGTACTTGAAGGTGGAGAAATGCATCTACTCTATCTGTGTACTTGAAGGTGGAGACATACATCTACTCTATCTGTGTACTTGAAGGTGGAGAAATGCATCTCCTCTATCTGTGTACTTGAAGGGGGAGACATACATCTACTCTATCTGTGTACTTGAAAGTGGAGACATGCATCTACTCTATCTGTGTACTTGAAGGTGGAGACATACATCTACCCTATCTGTGTACTTGAAGGTGGAGAAATGCATTTACACTATTTCTGTACTTGAAGTTGGAGACATACATCTGCTCTATCTGTGTACTTGATGGTGCTGACATGCATCTATTCTATCTGTGTACTTGAAGGTGGAGACATGCATCTGCTCTATCTGTGTACTTGAAGGTGGAGACATATATCTACTCTATCTCTGTACTTGAAGGTGGAGACATGCATCTACTCTATCTCTTTACTTGAAGGTGGAGACATACATGTGCTCTATCTGTGTACTTGAAGGTGGAGATATGCATCTACACTAACTGTGTACTTGAAGATGGAGACATGCATCTACTCTATCTGTGTACTTGAAGGTGGAGACATACATCTACCCTATCTGTTTACTTGAAGGTGGAGAAATGCATTTACACTATTTCTGTACTTGAAGTTGGAGACATACATCTGCTCTATCTGTGTACTTGATGGTGCTGACATGCATCTATTCTATCTGTGTACTTGAAGGTGGAGACATGCATCTGCTCTATCTGTGTACTTGAAGGTGGAGACATATATCTACTCTATCTCTGTACTTGAAGGTGGAGACATGCATCTACTCTATTTCTTTACTTGAAGGTGGAGACATACATGTGCTCTATCTGTGTACTTGAAGGTGGAGACATGCATCTACTCTCTCTGTGTACTTGAAGATGGAGACATGCATCTACTCTATCTGTGTACTTGAAGGTGGAGACATACATCTACTCTATCTCTGTACTTGAAGGTGGAGACATGCATCTACTCTATCTCTTTACTTGAAGGTGGAGACATACATGTGCTCTATCTGTGTACTTGAAGGTGGAGATATGCATCTACACTAACTGTGTACTTGAAGATGGAGACATGCATCTACTCTATCTGTGTACTTGAAGGTGGAGACATACATCTACCCTATCTGTGTACTTGAAGGTGGAGAAATGCATTTACACTATTTCTGTACTTGAAGTTGGAGACATACATCTGCTCTATCTGTGTACTTGATGGTGCTGACATGCATCTATTCTATCTGTGTACTTGAAGGTGGAGACATGCATCTGCTCTATCTGTGTACTTGAAGGTGGAGACATATATCTACTCTATCTCTGTACTTGAAGGTGGAGACATGCATCTACTCTATCTCTTTACTTGAAGGTGGAGACATACATGTGCTCTATCTGTGTACTTGAAGGTGGAGACATGCATCTACTCTCTCTGTGTACTTGAAGATGGAGACATGCATCTACTCTATCTGTGTACTTGAAGGTGGAGACATACATCTACTCTATCTGTGTACTTGAAGGTGGAGAAATGCATCTACTCTATCTGTGTACTTGAAGGTGGAGACATGCATCTACTCTATCTGTGTACTTGAAGGTGGAGACATGCATCTCCTCTATCTGTGTACTTGAAGGTGGAGACATGCATCTCCTCTATCTGTGTACTTGAAGGGGGAGACATGCATCTACACTATCTGTGTACTTGGAGGTGGAGACATGCATCTACTCTATATGTGTACTTGAAGGTGGAGAGATACATCTACTGTATCTGTGTACTTGAAGGTGGAGACATACATCTGCTCTATCTGTGTACTTGAAAGTGGAGAGATACATCTACTCTATCTCTTTACTTGAAAGTGGAGACATGCATCTACTCTATCTGTGTACTTGAAGGTGGAGACATACATCTATTCTATCTGTGTACTTGAAGGTGGAGACATACATCTACTCTATCTGTGTACTTGAAGGTGGAGACATACATCTATTCCATCTGTGTACTTGAAGGTGGAGACATACATCTACTCTATCTGTGTACTTGAAGGTGGAGACATGCATCTACACTATCTGTGTACTTGGAAGTGGAGACATGCATCTACACTATCTGTGTACTTGGAAGTGGAGACATGCATCTACTCTATACGTGTACTTGAAGGTGGAGACATGCATCTACTCTAACTGTGTACTTGAAGGTGGAGACATACATCTATTCTATCTGTGTACTTGAAGGTGGAGACATACATCTACTCTATCTGTGTACTTGAAGGTGGAGACATGCATCTACACTATCTGTGTACTTGGAAGTGGAGACATGCATCTACTCTATACGTGTACTTGAAGGTGGAGACATACATCTACTCTATCTGTGTACTTGAAGGTGGAGACATGCATCTACTCTATCTGTGTACTTGAAGGTGGCGACATACATCTACTCTATCTGTGTACTTGAAGGTGGAGACATGCATCTACTCTATCTGTGTACTTGAAGGTGGAGACATACATCTACTCTATCTGTGTACTTGAAGGTGGAGACATGCATCTACACTATCTGTGTACTTGACGGTGGAGACATGCATCTACTCTATCTGTTTACTTAAAGGTGGAGACATACATCTACTCTATCTGTGTACTTGAAGGTGGAGACATGCATCTACACTATCTGTGTACTTCAAGGTGGAGACATGCATCTACTCTATCTGTGTACTTGAAAGTGGAGACATACATCTACTCTATCTGTGTACTTGAAGGTGGAGACATGCATCTACACTATCTCTGTACTTGAAGGTGGAGACAAGCATCTACTCTATCTGTGTACTTGAAGGTGGAGACATGCATCTACTCTATCTGTGTACTTGAAGGTGGAGACATACATCTGCTCTATCTGTGTACTTGAAGGTGGAGACATGTATCTACTCCATCTGTGTACTTGAAGGTGGAGACATACATCTATTCTATCTGTGTACTTGAAGGTGGAGACATGCATCTACTCTATCTGTGTACTTGAAGGTGGAGACATGCATCTACTCTATCTGTGTACTTGAAGAGGATTATGCACGTCCATCTTATGATGACAGAACGAAGATTTACTTCCTTGTTGACGGAGTTTTAATATTAGCAAAACACCTCAAGTTGGTCGTCAGTATCTAACATAAATTTAATCACAGTATAAACTCCGTGATCATCATAAATTTAACAAAATACACACATTTTATCAGTTGTAATGTATTACATGATCTTTAATATTTAACCATACTTTGATTTTTTTCATTTGTTCGAAGAGTGTTTTAACCTGACTTTTGATCACGTGTGTTCTTTGATCACATATGTTCTTTGGTAAAGGTTTTCGTCATTATGGGATACACCTTTATCACCTGACACGATATATAACAGATAGGTTTTATTTGCATTACGAATAGACCCTTTGATGATATTTTATATCTGTTTCAAGGAATCAGATCATACAGTATTGATTCATAGTCTTGTTGTCTGATACAGGGTTTTGTACTTGACACTCTGCTGGCCATCCTGGTATCTGAATCTGCGGCTTCAGAGTTTGGCCGTTTAGTAATCTTAGTGTTTGTCTCAGCAGCCGAACTGATCCTATGTTGATAGTGTGGTCATCCTGCACTGGACATGTGGGTTCAAGGTAAGTAATGGCCTTATTGTCTGTTACAGGGGCTTCTGTCAGACGACCATCTGCACGACCGAGAGAGTACGTGTGTGTATCTTCAGGACATGGGTCGCGTAAGTTTCTAGTCATTATTTTGATCAAGAATATCCGTGTATACAAACATTACTGTTCACTCATCACAGGGATCGTGAAACGACGTCATGAAGAAAAGCCTCAATCCTTGAATGACAGGGTCCATTTACCACTGGCATCAAAGATACTTGTATGGCAGGTGTGTCATGGTGTATGATAGGTGTGTCACGGTGTATGAAAGGTGTGTCACGTTGTGTCACGGTGTATGATAGTTGTGTCACGGTGTATGATAATTGTGTCACGGTGTATGATAATTGTGTCACAGTGTATGATAGTTGTGTCACAGTGTATGGTAGGTGTGTCATGGATGTGACGGTGAGTCACGGTGAGTCATGGTGCATGATAGGTGTGTCACAGTGTATGATGGTTGTGTACGGTGTATGATGGTTGTGTCACAGTGGATGATAGTTGTGTCATGGTGTATGATAGTTGTGTCACGGCGTATGATAGGTGTGACAACGTGTATGATAAATGTGTCATTGTGTGTCACGGTGTGTCATGTTGTATCATAGGTCTGTCACGGTGTGTCATGGTTTATGATGGTTGTGTCACGGTGTATGATAGTTGTGTCACAGCGTATGAAAGATTTGTCATTGTGTATGATTGTTGTATCATGGTGTATGGTTGTTGTGTCACGGGATGTGATAGGTGTGTCACCGTGTATGATAGTTGTGCCACGGTGTATTTTAGTTGTGTCACAGTGTGTGATAATCGTGTCATGGTGTATGATAGTTGTGTCATTGTGTATGATAGGTGTGTCACGGTGTATGATATGTGTGTCAAGTTGTGTGAAAGTTGTGTCACAGTGTATGATAGTTGTTTCATGGTGTATGATAGTTGTGTCATGGTGTATGATAGTTGTGTTACGGTGTGTGATAGTTGTGTTACGGTGTATGATGGTTGTGTCACAGTGTATGATAGTTGTGTCACGGTGTAAGATAGTTGTGTCATTGTGTATGATAGTTGCGTCACAATGCATGATACTTCTTTCACGGTGTATGATAGTTGTGTCATGGTGTGTCATGGTGTGATAGTTTTGTCATGGTGTATGATGGTTGTGTCACAGTGTATGATAGTTGTGTCACAGTGTATGATAGTTTTGTCACGGTGTATGCTGGTTGTGTCAGGGAGTATGATAGGTGTGTCACGGCGGACGCGATCAACCGATATGTTGACGTATATATAGCATGTCATGATAGAAAGATTAATGATTCATGAACAGTCCGTGCTCTGAACAGTAATCCTTCTAACCACATCATTCTGACTCCGTGTTTGCAGGTGCTGCGCCTATAAGACTGTATGGAAGGCTGTTATAAGGACGGAACGCTACTGCTGTTCGGGCTACGAGGGCAGTCGCTGTGATCAGCGTAGGTTCACTCATACTTTACAAAAATCATTTTTATCAGAGGAAAATATTCGGTGAATATGTTGGGTATCCTGCAACAAATATTTGTGATAAAACAATTTCCCTATGAGAACCATGTAACCAAACAAATCACACTGCCTCTCTACTCGCCAAATACCCACGCGCACTTCATTCTTCTTTGTCCTTTCTTTTGAATGTTCGCTCCCCAAATCATTTCAGTTCCGCTAGACAGAAATATGGTATTATATCAGTTTGAACGGGCGCTGGGAACTCCAGGATTCCCTTCATGGGTGAATGCGTGAATGTGTGAATGCGTGAATGTGTGAATGTGTGAATGCGTGAATGAGTGGCGCCCCCAGCCGTTGTTACAAAACGCAGTCACACGTGTTACAATATAATTATTCCTGGAAGCAATCGTACGTGTTACAGAATAATTATTCCTGGAAGCAATCACACGTGTTACAATATAATTATCCCTGGAAGCAATCGCACGTGTTACAGAATAATTGTTCCGAGAAGAAATTGCATGTGTTACAATATAATTTGTCCTGGAAGCAATCGCACGTGTTACAGAATAATTGTTCCGAGAAGCAATTGCATGTGTTATAATGTAATTGTTCCTGGAAACAATGGCACGTGTTACATTATATTTGTTCTTGGAAGCATAGCACTTGTTATAATATATATTTGTTCCCGAAAACCATCGCAAGTGTTGCAATATTTTTGTTCCGGGAAGCAGTCGATTTAATTGTTGATCCGGGATCAGCTGACTGAGTCTTTGAACTGGGATGCAACATTTTCTCTTGTATTGTTGATCTAGAGAGAAGTATCTGGCTTCCCTCTACTGGTAGTCTTATGCTACAATCTTCCTGGAAACAAACACATGAGACTGTCATGCAATAACCATTGGTAGATGAATTGTCCAGATAAGTCATGGGTTGATTGATTGTCCTGATAAGCCAATGGTAGATGAATTGTCCAGATAAGCCATGGGTTGATTGATTGTCCTGATAAGCCAATGGTAGATGAATTGTCCAGATAAGCCATGGGTTGATTGATTGTCCTGATAAGTCATGTGTTGATTGATTGTCCTGATAAGCCATTGGTTGATTGATTGTCCTGATCAGCCATTGCTTGATTGATTGTTCTAAGCCTTTGTATGTATGCATGATTGTTCAGTGAGCAAGTGAGTTGGATTGGGAGTTGGATTTTACGCCCGCTTTGAGCAATGTTCCAGCAATATCACGGCTGGGCATGACTGTTCAGAAGGCAACTTGTTGAACATGAGATTTCTCTACTGACAGACAGTCCTGCTGTAATAATTGTCATGTCCTTGCTGTTGTCTTTTCTATCTATTGAGTGGTTTTACTGTTGGGTGTTACTATTGAGTGGCTTCATTATCTATTGAGTGGCTTCATTATCTATTGAGTTACTTTATTATCTATTGAGTTACTTTATTATCTATTGAGTGGTTTTATTATCTATTGAGTGGCTTTATTATCTATTGAGTGGCTTTATAATCTATTGAGTGGCTTTATTATCTATTGAGTGGCTAAAAAATCAATTGAGTGGCTTATCTGTTTTTTTATTCTGCAGCTGTCTGTAATCCTGAGTGCGGCAAAGGTGGCACGTGCATTAACCCGGGCAACTGCGCATGCCGAGCTGGTTACACTGGTCCGAGTTGTCGAGGAAGTACGTATGACGCATGCATGAGGAACACCATCAGAACAACGACAATAAACAGTGGAGAATAACGGAAGTTTGTGCTGCGCTCTGATTAATAGAAAAACACGTTTTATATTGTTCTGGAAAATATGTGGGATATTTCATTGCGTCTGAATTATTTTCTTGATAATTATCTTGTTTTCTCAATTCCAAGAGTGTTGAATTACAGCGCCACACCCCTTTATATAATCATATCATGAGAAGCATCTTCTAAAGGCGATTGTACGATTCCGACTATATCATGGCCACGAGTTTAGGAGGTGAGGTGAGGTGAGGTGAAATTGGGTGTCCAAGATTATTGCACTTATATAGCGACGTGCATGCATGTGTGTGTGTGGCTGCTTGTACTAGTCCGGACTGATGCCGATTTATAGTGCTAGCTCACTGAGATACCATGCCGCAGTTTAACATGAATACCCCACTCAGACACAGTATACTGACTCCGAGCCGACCAGTCCTTGTTTTAGCCCCTTAATGCCGAGCGCCAGACAGGGTAACAACAAGTACAATCTTTTAACGTCTTTTTGTATGACGCGGCCCGGGATCGAACCCTGGACCTTCCGCTCTCCGGGCGGACGCTCTACCACAAGACCACGGAGGCGGTGGCATGAGTTTAGGAAACACGGTTGACTAGTGATGATACCAGGCATGCACAGACAAGTCAAGTGTTCACCTGGAGAAACACGGGAGCATGTGGTCAGATCAAAATACAGAATAGCATCACACATCAACTTGGACACTGATACGTCAAATACGGAAATACTGTTCACGTGTCTATCACAAACTTTTCTAAGAACTTCAATGTTGGAGTCCTAAGACCTTGACTAGTGTAACCCTAATACAAACCTGTTGAGCCAGGGTATGATGCTCTTTGGAATCTTGGTAGATAGAGCATGCTCGATTATACCTCACAACTTGTGAACTGTCGACACCACAAGCTGGAGTCGCTGGGATAATCCTCCACATGATGGGAAAGTTGAAGTCACCCTCTTGTCATACAGTCTTGTTTTGTGTCTCTGAATTTTTATGCATAGATCTTAGGTCTTCAACAAACCATGCTTGCCGTAAATGGCGACTTTGCTTGTCGTAAGAGGCGACTAACGGGATCGGGTGGTCTGGCTCGCTGACTTGGTTCATGCATGTCATCGATCCCAATTGCGTGATTGATGCTCATGATGTCAATCCCTGGATTGTCTGGTCCAGATTCGATTATTTACAGACCGCCGTCATATAGCTGAAAAATTGCTGAGTGCGGCGTTAAACAACAAACAAACAAAAAAAGCATAGATTTACATATGAAACAAATTAGCAAGGAGTTGGTGCCCATGTTGATGATGACTGCGTGCCCAAATGTCCCATTCAAATTTCACATAGATGTGACCTATTGACCTATACAAAGGTTAAAGAGTGTGTCGTTCACCTTTCTGTTTCCTCGTTCAGCTGAAGCCTGCTCTCACCGATCCCCGTGCTTCCCAGGAATCTGCTCCGGAAATTGCACTTGCCAGTCAGGATTCACACAAAAGACCTGCTTGACATGTAAGTGATTCATTCATGTTAATGCCTGCTAAGGTTAATAATTATTCACTCTTTGAACACAAAACAATAATGTCCATGTCAATGTCCATATTAATGTCCATGTCCCCGTCCATGTCAATGTCCATGTCAATGTCCATGTCACCGTCCATGTCAATGTCCATGTCACCGTCGATGTCAATGTCCATGTCAATGTCCATATCAATGTCCATGTCCATATCAATGTCCATGTCACCGCCCATATCAATGTCCATGACAATGTCCATATCAATGTCCATATCAATGTAC